CCGGAAAGTTGGAACATGATTATCCTCATGCCCTTTTGGTAAAGCATAATGGATCCTAAACCCTTAAACCCTAAACCATAAACCCTAGCACGAATCCTCCTAAACCCTAAACCCTAAACCCTAAACCCTAAACCCTAAACCCTAAACCCCGAATCCTCCTAAACCCATGTTCCAACTTTCTGGCTTCTACCAGAAGGCCAAGGCTTGAAGGCATCGGTGCTGAAAGCTTCCACGCCGCAGAAGACCGAACTATCTCGGATCTAAATAAAGGCACTGGCATAATATAGGGGTCTAATTAATTACCTATACTATTGTGGGGGGGCTCCTTATCATACTTATTATGTAATGGCCTATTCTAATTATTAAGGCCCCTATTGCTCAGACTTGCAGTTTTTTGGCCTGTGGGGGTTTGAAGGAATCCTTCAGCACGCAGCTTGGAGCACCCAGCCCCCTCCGCAGTCCGGGCACAACGCCCCCAGAAACTCCAATGCCCCTTGATTAAGGAATGTACCTTAAATTACAGTAGGATCTCTATTTTGATTTAAGGTAGATTCCTTAATTAAGGGGTATTGGAGTCTCTGGGCCTGATTCACTGGTTTATGTGGAGGATTTTTCGGCTACTCTTACCACGAAAAAGCCAACCCTACACAGCAAGCCATGGTTGGAGAAGGGGCTCTGGGTGCTGCTGAAGACCCAACCTATGGCGCCTATGGGGTGCTATAACACCGCAAGAGGAGCATGTGGGAGCTTCCGAAAACAAGGGGTACCTTATTTTGGGGGTCCCTATAATAGGGATCCTACTATTTAGGGTACTATATTGGGGTCCCTTTTTTTCAGAAACCCCCATGTCAGCAGTCACCATGAATTTCTCCGCGGCTGGCCGGCGTCCAATCACAAGCTACCAGCGGCGAGTTGCCACCCGGAAGCTTTCGCATACTGGTGGTGAGCAATGTTCACAGGATCCAACATATCCTAAATCCTAAAACCATAAATCCAACATGCAGAAACCTGGTGAATGTCGACACTCGGAGATCTGCCCTTGCTGGAAATGCATTAACGGGCTCTGAAACATCAGATTTGTATCACCAAAACAGACCAGCATACCCATACCTGCAACACTAAAGTCTCAATCCTCATCACCTAAACCGAATCAAGCGTGTCTAGAAGGCCGTGGGCCTGCTCTCCTGGGGAGTGGTTGAGGAGTTGGTGCTCGCACTCGCAGTACTATCTTGAAATTTTGTATCGTATGTTATGAACCATGTCCTCCCGTCACAACACCTAGACTTTAAAGTACAAGTTTTCTGCAACGGAAGCACGGATGTGGCCATCGACCAACCCTAAGCCCTAACCCTAAACCCAATAACTTCAGAACGGGCTCGATACAAGCTCGAGGGTTCAAGGCTCGTGTTGCCTCATTCGGCATGGCGATGCTTGAGGCCCCACACCCCGCACCTCTAGGGTTTAGGGTTTAGGGTAGGACGCTGCAGTAAACCTTTACTCATCCCCATAAACCCCATGAGCCATAGATACCCTATATACCTACCAACCCTAAAACCTAAACTGCCTAAACCACCATAGTCATCCGCAAAGCCCTCAGAGCTTCGCGTCCATGGAGGCCAATGCATCGCGCAGGGACATAAGCGAGCGACCCATCCTGAGATGCAGGACTGTGTAGGGTTCAGGGGTTTAAACTTCAAAGCTTAGGGCGATGAGGAATCCAACATAAGTCAAGCCACCATGTTTGGGGAGGCACTGGGGTAATTTCAACTTATTAAATACGTTCCTCAAGATGATCCCATGGCTCGGGACTCAAGTCTTGGCTTGCGGCTTACGGGGATTCCCTGCAAATTCCCGCAATGGGATCTGCATCTGTGGTGCAAACTGCAAGCAGGCATCCCAAACAGACCGTCGCACGACGCCTTCTGCGATATCAGCCGGAGCGTTCCGAGTTTGGTGGCGCAATGCTTTGCATGTGCACGTCGGACTAGGAAAACTTAAAATGAACAATCATTTCTGGATAGGCGTGAGCTCCATTGAAAATGACGAACTCTCGATGTATCTGTCGTCGCAACGCGTCGATAGGAACCCCTTTTTGAGCGATAACAGAATGGAAGCGACCTTTTGACGGATCGCCTGGGTCCACCGGAGGTTCCACCTTCGTCTTCTGCAAAGGCCCTTCAGCTTCCATCGAGTGTCCAAGGATCACACGAGCAATGATGAAGTAACCTTCCCCCGGGTCTTTCCCCGAGCCTTTCCCTTTGGATGCCCCTGAATACTGCAGAGCTTTGCAACTTTGGTCTGTAAAGTAGACTCCTTGTCCATACAATCCTTTCTCACGAGCGAGACGTTCGTCAAATCCGAAAGCTGCAATCTGCTCTGTCTTGTCTAGTGTGGTGCCATGGATGACCAAAACTTCATTGATCTTTTCATCCAGGTCTGCCCAACTGCACACCTCACGTGGTAGGGTACTGGTCACTCTCGGGATGCTGTGACGGCCTTCCAGCTCTTTCCGCACTTGCTCCTTCCGGTATTCGTAGTCCTTCCAAATGCTGGTGTTGCAAACCTGCTGGAGGCCAATGACACTGAAACGGTTCATGCGCAAACAATCCCCAATGTGATGGGAAGGCCATGCCTCAAGCAGAGCTTTCTGGATGCTGGCGAAAACTGCATCACGATGATTCAACTGGATGCAGATCTTTGCCCGCAGCTGGCGACTGACCCGCCAAGCTTCTTGCGCCATCATCTGCGTCGCGTGGCCTGCCTGCGAAGCTTCCAGGGCTTTCTTCTCCTGCCTCAGAACACATCATGCAGGATATCACAGCAACAAGAACCACGCGGGAGAAAATCAAGACTAGTATGTCAACAGAAGAACACATCAAGGCTGTCTGTGTGTTCTCTCCGAAACGTGTCCCTCGTTTCGTCGTCTCTCTAGCAAAGCGGCTCAAACCAGTCCCGAGATTTGACTCAAACCCCCATTTGCGTTCGAGAGACTCCAGCTTTGCTACTTTCGCGCTCAAGTCTTCTTTCTCCTGAAAGAGCTGCTTCATCTTTGCTACTGTTGCGATCAAGTCTTCTTTCTCCTGCATCAGCTGCTTCACCTCAGCAGCCTTCCTCGTTGCATCCGCTCTGGCAGCAACCCGTCTGATCTGTCGTATGCGGCCGGTCGACATATTCTTCTGAAGCATGCAGCGGCTGTCAATACAATAATCAAAGCCCGTCCCCCGGACATAGAAGGTGTCGTCCGAATCAGGGCTTTGATCCCACCCGTCGGCCCAGCGCTTCTCGAGGAGGTCATTCATAGCCTTTGTCATTGGTTGCCAGTTCTGGTTTCGGTTCGCTGCATTTGCACCACGATCACTGTCCAAATACTCCCACACAAGCTCAAATTCAGAGTCCTTGCAGTCATCTGTCGCAAAATTGGATAGCGTTTGGACGTTCAGAAGATTGCGCACGGCAGCCGCACTGCAAGCTCCATTCCGCGCTGTGCAGTTGGAACTGTCGGGATGCCCCCGGCTATTGCCACAGCCCGAGCCATGACGTGCAGGCGGTGTAAGCTGATTGTTAGTCACACTCTCCGGATGCTTTCTTTTGCGATCCAGGTCATTGATCGAGCATACCAACCAGCAGCCTGAGCAATAAATGTGGCGCGGCTCAACTTGACCTTCGAGGACCTGAGTCAGTCTTTGAAAGAATTTCCACGTTCCTTTGCACCATACCGCAATCTCTCCATCAATGGCATCAGTGCCACATTTGAAGCATGTGGGCATGGCTCTCCGGACGGAGACTACAAGATTACAAGACTTTCAAAAAGAGGGCCTTCCATGAAACAATGCAGTAGCAAGGCTACTGGTAGTGGTCAAGCTCCCGACTTGCAAGCCATATGTTATGTGTCTTGCAAATAGCTGCTCTTGATGAAGTGCGTGGGCACACAAAACCGAAGCCGAAATCGTGACAAGCAATGCTTTCAATAGAACAGATACGAAGGAATCCGGTTGCTTGGTTTCCGTCGAAGGATCCCCCCAATCATCAAAACAACGTTGGCCCCTGCATCTGTTGAGGATTCAGCGGTGTTCCTTTCTCATGCCCCTCTCTGCATCATATGCCATATGCCACACAAGATAGAAAAATCCATTCACGAATCCGAAAAATCATCTGCTAAGTTGCAGGAGACTCCGAAAGGTGTAACACAAAGACCGCAGAGAACCACGTCAACGTGTCAACTGCTGCACGACAGAACATGCGGACCCGCTTGTGGAATGGCTATGAGACAGCAGTGGAAGGCAGTTCAGAAAAATGTGCTCCTCTGAATTGCGGCAAGGGCACATGCCTTCGAGCCGCGAGATATTCATGGACATGTCAGCAGGCGAAGGTGTCGGCAAGCAGTAGGCAGAGCCTGCCCGATTTTATCGTGAATGCTCGCCCTCATCTCTATGATCCAACATGTTTTCTATTGGTGAACCAATACCTATAAACCCTAAACCCTAAACCCTAAACCCTGAACCCTGTGAGTATCGACACTGGAAGATCTGCTCTTGCTGGAAATGCGTTAACGGGCTCTGAAACATCAGATTTGCATCACCAAGAAGAGACCAGCATACCAATACCTGCAAAACTAAGTCTCAATCCTCATCACCTAAACCGAATCAAACGTGTCTAGAAGGCCGTGGGCTTGTTTTTGTGGGGTGGTTGAGGAGTTGGTGCTCGCGCTGGGAGTAAAATCTTCAAATGTTGTATCCCAGGCTGTGGACATGTCCCCCAGTCACAACCCCTAGACTTGAAAGTACAGGTTTGCTGCAACGGAATCACGGATGCGGCCATCGACCTACATAAAGCTGCACACAGGACTCGATACAAGCTTGAGGGTTGAAGTCTCCTGTCGCCTCAATCGGCATGGCGATGCACACAGCACCGATCCCCCAAGCCTTACGGGGACCCTGCCTCCCAATCCTGAATCTAGAACATCTGCAGTAAGCCCCGGAACCCTGAACCCCATGAGCCCACCAAGATCCCGTAAGCTCCATTTACATGCCCCATCAACCCCAACAAAGCTCTATAAATTCTGATTATGAACCTTATAAGCCCTGAACCCTAAACCCTATAGACCCTAAACCCTAAACCTGAAGCTTAGGCTACCGTCACCCTCAGAGCTTCGCGTCCATGGAGGCCAAGGCGTCGCGCAGAAGCACAGGCGAGCGACCCATCCTGAGGAAAGAAGACTCAGGAGGGTTTTAGGGTTTAGGGTTGAAGGGTTTGGGGTTTTAGGG